CATACTTTTCCGGTTGGAGCGCACCGGCAAACCAACCATCACCCCGTGCAGGCCACGATACAGATGCTGCCCATGGGCTACCGGGTCCAACCGCGAAAGGCGGAGCACCAGTTCCATGCGCAGATGTTGCAACAGGCTGTTACCCAGCACTCGTGCACGGCCCAGGAGCTTCAGAAAGCCGTGGCGGCCAGACTGGATACACTGCCAGAGGCGCAGCAGCTCTGTCCAGAGCACGCCCTAGTCAATCAGGTGTTGCTTGAGGAAACTTGCCGCATCTTTCCCCCAGCTCATAAGCCTGACACCAGAGTCAGTGCACAGCCTAGCTACCGAGCCACGGCCAAAGGCACATGGCAGCTCCATCGACAACTCCGCCGATCAGGCATGCCCTCCCTTCAGAATATCTGGTCCAGATGGCGTCTCTTCGCCAGGTTCATGAAGGCCTCGGCCATGCTGCGAAGGCAAAGCAGGGACCTTAAGCGACAATTCCTGACAGACCAAATTGTGCAAGCGGAGGCAGCAGCCAGGCAGGGAAACCACAGGGAGCTCTTTCTCATTGCCCGCAGGCTAGGCCCACGCACTGTGCAAGGCGTCTCTAGGCTTCAAGGACCGAACGGTCAACTTCTTGATGGCCAGGCGGAAATGGCCGCCATCCTCAAGCACAGCAGGGCGGCTTTCGCCTCAACCCCGGACACCACTAGCCTTCATCCGCTACAGGGGCACTTCGTGTTTGCAACAGCGGAACTGCAGGCGGAGCTGGCACGGCTCAATGTACGCAAGGCGGTGCCCAGGCACATTGCCCCGAATGCTGTTTGAAACAAAGGGCAGGGGCCGTGAGCGACCGCCTAGGCCCTTGCTTTGCCCAGCACTTCCGGCGCCATTCTACGGCAGTGCTGGAAGGCGACCTCCAGGACGCGCACATTTGCTGGCTAACCAAGCCCTCTAAGCCGCCCACTGCCATGAGTGCCCTTAGACCCATAGGACTCATGCCCCCATGTGCTAAATCCCTAGCGGGCTATGTTGCAAAGCAAATCCTTGCACATCTTCAGCCGACGCTTGACCATCTGCCACAATTTGCTTACTGCGCTGGAAGAGGGGTGAACGATGCAATTTTGAGAGTTCACTCGTACTTCGAAAGCATCGAGACACTGCAAAAAGGACAGATCAACAACAGGTTCAAGATGTACGAGGATATCCAACCCCTTGCCTGTCACGGGGGGGTCTGTCTATCCCTAGACCTCAGCAGCGCCTTCGACAGTGTCAGCCGGGATTTTCTCATAACGTCGTTAGTCCAGCACCAGGTGCCGGGGGACCTCATAAATGTGGTTCAGCAGTTGCACAGGGAGGCCAGGTACGTCTTCAAGACTCAGACTGCAAATGGTCAGATTACCACCACAAATGGAATCAAGCAGGGGTGCAGAGCAGCGCCCACGCTTTGGATCAGCTTCACACTCTCCATTTTGGAGCACCTTGCATCCAAACGCAGCCTTGCCTGGATTCAACGACTCCTCACCCTTTTTGCTGACGACTGTTGCGGGCATTGGGTCATCACCTGCAAGAAGGACTGGCAAGACGCGATGGCAGACCTGGTTCTGCTGCTTGAAACGCTGGCAGCTTACAAGTTGAGGGTCAATCTGCAAAAGACGGCGCTGCTAGTTGACCTTAAAGGCAAAGAGGCTCGCAAGCTGATGCAGAAGCACACCAGTCACAAAGCAGGCGAGGTCTTTCTCGTCCTTCAGGTTGACGGTGAAGAATGTCTGCTGAAAATACGCGAGTCGCACACCTACTTAGGTACCATCATCGCCTACAGGGAGCGCCGCGACCTCAACATAAGCCACCGCATCAACGCCGCTCAGACCCGCTACCAGCAGACACGCAAGGTTCTCAATGGCCACAGCCCCCTGTCTACCAAGTACAGGCTCAGACTCTGGCAGGCCTGCATTCCGCCAAGCCTCCTGTACTCGCTGGATGTCACGGGCTGCACGCTCAAAGGACTGCAAAGGATCAAGACGATCGCCACAAGACATGTCAGGGCCGTATTGCGCGAGCCAGCCCACCTGCACCACGTCAGCACCTCAGATATCTGGGCCAAAGCACAGCTCACCACTCCCGAAAAGTCCCTACACAAGCGACTCATCAATCTGAGAGACAGCAGGGACCCAGCCTATAGTTTGCATGGCCCGGACCTCGTTAACAACGACCAGGTCCACCAGCAGCTTCAGGTCCTCCTCTCCAGGCTCCAGGATCTGATCCATGGCATGACAGAGAAGCCGGCAGTTTCGGCGACGCAGGCCGAAGATGGCTCCGCTACCACTTACCAGTGCCCGCATTGCGAAACGGTGCTTTCCACGGCACACGCCAGGCTGATTCACATCGCCATCAAGCATCCTGAGGCGGAAGCCCCTCCAGACCCGAGGCAAAAGCCCGTATTCAGTGCACACGAGCATGCCGTCAACGGGCTCCCCACCTGTAGGCTATGTCACCGCATCTTCACGAAGTGGCAGTCCCTTAAGCTGCACATAGAAAACGGGTCCTGCATAGGCCTAGGAGGGGATAGCATGAAGCTTAGCCCGCCCGCTGAAGACAACCATGCTATGAGCAAGCCTGTCAAAAACTCCCAGCCACTTGTTCTCCCTCAGCCGGACCGGACAGATCCTGCTGCACCGTGCAAAGCTGCAAAAAATGCGGTCCCACTCATTCAGGATCCGCTTCTTGTGAATTCGCTTGGCACATGGGACCAACACCTCACCTGTCCGCACATGAAAGAGCGGCTCCAAAGCCACTGTGTGATTTGCGGCATGTGGATAGCGGATAAGAAACACATGAAGCAGCACTACAACCGGACTCACAAGAAAGACTACCCACAAGCCTTAGAGGAGACCAATAAGCTGTGCATGTCCTTCAAGGGTAATTTCACCAGAGGACGTAGCTGCAAGTACTGCAACAGCACAGTCGGTGCCCCATGCAGGCACGTCCTGCAATGCACTGTCTTGCATCAACTTTGCCTCGCAGTTACTGTGTGCAAACAGCACCCTGCCCGAAAGGCTGCCCGCGATGGGGGACATCGATGCGGAGATCTTCGCGCACTGCATGCCGTCAGGCGCAGCGGGGACGGAGGAAGGTCAAGCAGCACACAAGAGGCCTCGACAAGCGCCAGCGCGTCCCATGGGGCGACAGGGCAGGAGGACGACATTTCAGGGGCCCCATGGCCAGATGCGCAAAGATCCTTCCAGCAGCTCCCTCAGTCGACGACACCGGACTCACAGTACAGACTGCTGAGCAAACTCGTGCTCAAGCACGAAGAACAGCTGGCGCTGCTGCGCAAGGACACCCAGTTTGTCTTGTTTTTCAGGCAGGACGACAAGTCGATCCTGCCCTCCCTCATGAGTGTATCCCGCGAGTGGAAGACGAAGCAGGCGGCGGGCGACCAGTCCATTCAGTCCTCCCAACGGACCGTTCTGATCAGCTGTCTGCTACGCGAGCTGCTGGCAAGGGTGCAAAGAGTGGTGGCCACGGAGGCCGGCCGAGACTCACTCAAGAAGGCAGAGTGGATGACAGCGGCCAGCGCCTGGTCGTACATGAGGTGGTCCCCGAAACTCCGAAAGCTCACGCCGGACAGCACCCGCGAGGCCCTAGTCCACGACGAGGCGGTTCGCATCATCTCCGAGCTCCAGAAATCGATGCGAGGAGACATAGTGCACAAGTTCCAGAGCACGGTCAATCTGGCGACCTTGGAGGACGAGGGGGCCCAGCAGGCGGTCTTCCACCTGGGAATATCCTTGCGTGGCTCGGAGGCAACCGAGGTCTACGAGCACTTCCGGAAGCTCACGGGATCGGCTCTGACCAACCTGGCGGGATTCAGCATGAAGATGGACGACCAAAGCCGCCAGCCTCTGGCACAACAGCTCGCCCAGCTGACGTACGGGGGAGGCCGGCAGCGACAACCTTCACGGCAGTGCCCCAGGACACCACCACCCTTGGTGGCCCTAACTATAGGTCCTCCCCCACCCCTAGTCACGACACCTCTCATCTCCCTAACTTCCTTCTTAATAACCCCCACAATCACTGCTACCTGAATGCCACTGTCAATTGCCTTCACATACTTGAAAAATGCACACAGAAGACGATCCTGCCAAATACATTCCGTCGAGCTGCTGGCAGGCTTCTGAACGCTTACCAAGCTCTGGGGTTCAACCTCCTGGGGTGGAGGCAGCCCGACCGTCAGCATGATGTTGCAGAGCTCATTGATTTCATCATGCCACGTCTTAGCCCGGGCACCATGCGTGTCACTTGGAGTGCAAGAGAGACGCGTCAAGGCAGGGTGCACCACACCGATGGTGCTGCTATGTCCAGGTGCCTATCCCTAAGCCACCAGGAGTTTAAGACGGACCCCCAAGAGCTCATCAACCGCTGGCATGGGCAGGCAGCAGCGCATGCGCTGGACGACCAAGTCCCTTGGATCTTCTTGCAGCTGCCTCGGGGGTACAGAGACGAATCCGGGCAGGTTCGAAAGAACCATTACCCAGTGCTCCTTCCAGAGGTCTTGAAAGTGCCAATCTTCATCGGCCCTCTCTCTACGGAGACGAGGTGGCATACATACTCTCTTGTAGCATGCATCCTCCATCATGGATCCAGCCTCGTGTCAGGTCATTACAATGTTCTGAGTGCACGGGGAACCAACTACCATGTACTGGATGATGCGAAAAGCATAGAGCAAGCTTCAGATGCATTCCTTGAGAGCGCCTCTTGCAGAGCATATATCCTGGTGCTTGCTCAAACTATGGAACACACTTCGCAGACTCTCAACGCTCAAGCCGACATTCTGAGCCATGATGGAAGAAGGAGGGACCAACCACTTTCTGCTGCGCAAATACGGGGACACGTGGACAGCTGCGCACCTCAGCCTCATGGAGCACCAAATCAAGGAGCTGGAGGCCCAGATGATGCTGATGCAACGGCATGTGGACAACATACAGAGCCAAATGCACACGTTGCAACTGCTTGTGCATCGCCACGCGTACTTGTACAGCAGCCGCAGAACCAATAAGGCTTGGAGTGCAAAGGTTCGTGTCTTAGATGTCATGGACTGAGAAATTTTATTATCCAAGCGTGTGCAAAGCACACAGGCGTTACGGCGCATGTTCCCCATGCCTTTATGGCATTCGTGCCGCTATCTTGAATAGCCGGAGATGGCATAAGTCCAGATCTGTTATGGCGCTCGCTAGCTTGAGATTCGGGACTCTTGCTGCGGTGGAAGAAGATGATGATGATGATGACGACGACGACGATGATGACCATGACGATGAAGATGATGGTGGTGGTGATGATGATGATTATGATGATGATGATGATGATGATGACGATGATGAAGATGATGATGGTGGTGGTGGTGATGATGATGGTGGTGGCGATAAGCATCATCACCACCACCACCACCATCATCATCATTGCCAACAGCAGCAGCAGCTCCATCAGCAGCAGCATCACCATCACTTTCATCACCAACATCACCATCACCGTCATCATAGCGACAGAAATTACAATCACAACACGACGAGGAAGAAGAGGAATAAGAATGACAAGCAAACCGGACAAGTCCCGACTGAAATGAAGAAGGCACAGGGAAGCTTTTGAGGAGTCGAGGTTTGGCTTTCAGGATGCCACGCGGCTGAATTTCAGAGTTTTGATTGGTAGTTGTTGGGACACGGGTGATGGGCTGTGGTGTGTTGATATTGGGGTTCCGGAGTTGCATTGAAGGCGGCATGCATCTTGCTGCACCTGGCTTCAGGTATGCTTTTGGTTGAGGTTCGGTGGCCTTGCGGTGACATGGGGAGTTCAAGATCGGCCAAGCAAGGCGCAGCAATCCTCCGGTAAACCACAAAGAAAGGGGCCTTGGAGCTTCTAATTAAACTATTATGTCTATTGATCTTACAGCCCTCCATGCTACCGACCGGGGAACTTTCTCCCTTCAATGAATCTGACGATCAAGTTTCGGCAAACTCCTGAAACGGTCCCTTTGACAAGTTGTAGTCGAGTTGGGTTGAATGCGAACATGTCACAGAACCCAAAGCTTGAAGCGAACAACGAAACGATACCCATGCAATTGGGAGCTTTGCGCCGTGAAAGGCTTCGGCTTCTAAGCTTCTGATGCTCTTGGCTTTGAGGTGGCGCCCACCCTGCGGCGCCTGACCCGGCACAATCAGCTTGGAGGCTGGCACGTGGGTGCCATTGGGAAAAAGGACCGCCTGGACAGCGTAGGCTACGCAGCGATGCTTCTCAAGAGACTTTCGGAGCCGTTTCTGAAGCTACGGGACCAGACCTAAAGATTCATGAACAAGCCGTAGAAAGGCGCCAATGATGCAAAGAACCGCACACTGAATCCGCTTCCCTGCCTCAAAGCCCCACAGATTCACCGCCGCTACCGGTGAAAGCGAGGGTTTCGGCTCCTGGATTGCTTGCAATGCTCCGAGAACTCATGAATTTCGGATCTCCCTAAACCGGACTCCTCCACATCCACAATGACGAGATAGATCCGTGGAACCACCACCTTCTCGGTCGGAGGCTTTCAACTTGATGGAAGCGATGAACACAATACAGGCAGCTACATGAGCCTACCGCGAAGCAAGAAACAAAACTGAATGCAACACTGCGAGCTTTGAGCCCCACATCAAAAACCTGGGCTGCTTCAAGGTCTTGCCGCTTTTGAAGTAGAGCTTAGACCAGTCGTGTTTTGTGCACCCTGCTTAATTATACCGCGAAGTCTTGAAGGAAATGCCTACTCTCCCTGACAAACCCAGACTTCAGGTGAGCCCTCTGCGCCTCGCGTGCGGACAGCGGTCTCTGCAACTTCACCCGTAGGTCCACTGAAGTTCCAGACTTCACCTGTTTCGGTTCTACGGTTTTACTGTTGGGCATTTGATCTTGAAAGCCTAGTGTTTCGCATCGCCGGCTTCGGATCTGGTGATGTTCAATGTGCACGTATCAAGACCAGCGCAAAACCTGTGTACTCCACAAATGGAGAGCTGTTTGCCTGAGATTCGGTGCCTGGGGCCTCCTGGACCCGACAGCTAAGGTCTCATGAACCTGCCCACCCAATCTTAGAAAACCGAACTGGCTTCGGAAAAGAACTGCGGAACGAGGCACGCTGACCGCGGCTCGCAAATGCCCGGAAGCTGCGTTGAACGAGGCCTCGAGGAGCAAACTGTGACGGAAACTGATCTAAAATGGAGCTACAAGCACTTTCTTGCTAATGACAATGACACCTTAACATACAGTCACTACAGTCATAAACAAGAAGAAGCATGGACCCTTGGCAATCCTGGGTGTGCAGCCTCGCCATGGGCGGGGCGTTCAGGGTGTCAAGGGTCGGAAACCCAACAAGAATAAGAAAAGATTTGGGTTTAGGGTTTAGGGTTTAGGGTTTAGGGTTTAGGGTTTAGGGTTCACCATGTCCCGCCAGTCATGCACACACCCGAATTTTTCAGAGTTCTTAGAGACTCAAGCACTGACGGCTGAGATCCCTGCCTCCTCCGGCTGGTAGGGATCGCTACCAGGGCCCACGGATATTACCTGACCATGTGAGTTTAGGATCTGAGGCTTTTTGCGGGCTCTTTTCGCTCCGCCAAAGGTTCAAAGCTTGGGGTTTAGGGTTTGGTACGGTTCCATGCGCTCCAAAACCTTAACTTCCGGATTAGGCTTCGGAGTCAGGCCTCAGTCCGCTGGTGGTACCATTCCCATTCAGCATCGGAGCGTGGAACCCATTTGGACAGTCAGTGCTTCTCGGTGCATGATGGATTTGACAAGCGAGCATTGCCAGCGACTGCAACTGTGGAGAAATATGATGCTAACGTCAGTCACAGCAGATCTCACTCTCAATACTTATGTGATTGAAGGGCAGTCTTCTCCCAGCACGGTGCCATGTCCACGTTGTCGCCGATAATGCTGCCAACCGCGGCATAGCGGATCTCCTTTGCATTGAAACTCAAACATGCACAAACGAGACTACTTCCTGGAACATATCAACCAGCCCAAAGCAACACATGCAGATATGGATATAGGTACAGATATAGATATAGATATGGATAAAGATAGACATAAAGATAGAGATATAAGTATAGGTGTAGATCTAGATATAGATGTAGTTGTAGCTATAGAGATAGACAGGACTGACACATGCATATACGTTATATATATATATATATACTTATGTTCCCCATTCTTTCCTATGCAATATCGATGTATATATGTACAAACAATATCTATTGTATATATACATATATATATATATATATACATGTGTATAAATATACATATATATAGTGCCCATATATATATATATATTTATTTATTTATTTATTTATTTATTTATTTATTTATTTATTTTGTTATTGCTAGCATTATTTTATATATATATATATATGTATGTATGCATGTATGTATGTATGTATGTATGAATGAATGAATGAATGAATGAATTTATGTATGTATGTATGTATGCATGTATGCATGTACGTATGTATGTGTGTGTGTGTATATATATGCATGCATACTCTACATGTATGTATGTACACAAGTACACATGTGTACGTCTATATATCTATATATATATATATATATACATATACATGTATATATATATATGTATATATATATATATATATGTACGTATACATATCCTGTGTATACGATTTGCATTTGCACAGCCCTTGCAAGCCAGCAGCCGGCGGCTCGTCCAGGTGGCCGGGCCCTTGGCCTCCCAGGTTGTTGAAGATCACCTCAGGCACGGCGGATTTGGAGCTCAAGGTCTTCTTGTTTGCGCGTTCTTTTCCTCCGCCTCAGCATCCAAATCGGAGGTGAGTGAGTCATGGGGACGGAGCCATTGCACCAGGTTTCAGGGTTTAGGGCTTTGTGTTTGAGGTTGAGGATTCATGGTTTAGTTTCTTGTTCCTGGACGCCTGTTTCCGTTCAAAAAGCGTTTGGAAGCCTTCGGTAAGCAGGCAATAACTTAGGGCTTCGGATTTAAGGGTGTGGTGCTTAGGACGAAAGCCTGTTTAGGGCTGCGGATTTACACAACACTTACGTTTTGTTCGCATACATTTTTCCAAGCGCAGCTAGACCTTCTGCAAGTACTACGCGAGCCTTGCAGCATTGTCCCAACTCCTCTTGCTGCAGTGATTACCAAACACCCACACCGCAAAGCAAGCTCTCTGCCAAGACACGTTGTCACGGCCAAGCACCAGCTTGCGTCCTAACCTTTTCCAGGCCGCCTAGGCAAGGCAAGACTTGATTCAGAAGTTCAGGCTTACCCCTGTTATGGCTTTGAAGGATTTGTCTGTTGGCTTTGGGGTCTCGAGGGCTTGGGGAGTCTGTTGATATCCCGAGTGTTGGAAGGAGCTCGCCCGTAGCCCTGAGCCAAACAGCAAGGGGTTGAATATCTTGAGCTGCAGACGGAGTCAGACCGGCCGAGAACGGCCCCGAGCATAAAGGCCATGAGGCCGGACAGCTGCAATCGTCACAGCCCGACAGGAGAAGCCCCCACAACACCAAGAAGAATCCGGACACCCCACCCAAAGCTGCAGGTGCAGGCCGTGCCTGAGCCTCAGCCTCGTGCGATCCTCGCTCACAATTCAACATGTGAGCTTAAGGCTTCTTGTGTCCAAACTTTGCGAAATAACCGGTTGAGCAGCACCAACAACAGCAGCAGCACCGGCAGCAATAACAAGAACAACAGGCCGATATCCCGCTCCTGGTGATGATGAAAATGATGATGATCCTGGTGGTGGGGATGCTGACGGTGACAGTGATGATGATGATGACGACGATGATGACGATGATGATGATGATGATGATGATGATGTTGATAATGGTGATGGTGACAGCGACGGTGACGGTGCTGTATGGTGACTGTAATGGTGATGATGACGACGATGATGCCGACCATGGAGACACAGAAGTCATCATCGCACAGGCAGCAAGACCAGCAGCAGCAGCAGCAGCAGAAGCAAGAGGAAGAAGAACAGAATGAGTGTTTTGTTTGTGTAGCAAACAAGCTACATGCAAGCATACAATTTACTTCTAATATGAAGACGGCATCAACGGCCTCTGGCTGGCGCATCGATCTCCTCCTGCACCTCGGTGTTCTGAAGCATCTGCAATCCGAACATCGCGAAGGCTGACAGCGGAAAAGGTGGACCGTGGAGTGCACAGTTTACCATCTATAGTGCTCTCCAGGTTGGAGAAGTCCAGCGAACTCCGACACTGAAGTCGGCATTCAGCAAAGGTTCTGTCACAGCTGGAGATCGCAGCGCAATGAAGAAGTTGCGCCCCACCCAGGCGGAGCTGAGCACATTCCCTGAGCTGTCAGCCATGGGAGTGCGATTCGTTTCGGAGCCTAAAGCCTTAAGCCGTAAGCCCCTACCTCAGCTGCGGGATCCGCGTTTACCTACGAATTTCAGACCAACATCTTTCGGACTGTACCGAAAGTTTTCTGAAGCTTTGGGAGTCGGGCTTGAGCGGTGTCGTTTGCGGCTTCTTCGCTGCGTCAGCAAGAAAGCTCAGGTTTTAGGCTCCATAACTGTAGCTCCTTTGGAAACCCGAAGTCTTGGCCCAATCTCGTCTTCAGTCGACCTCAAGCAAGACAGGCCACCAGCCTCACACCTTGATTCCTACATGTCGTGACTGAGCTCCACCTCCCCAAAACTCTGCAACGACCCCATGGCACTCCTCCGCTGCGCTCCGCGCGGATCCGCAGCCGCACAGTGCCATCTTCACCCACGGGGTACCAAGCAGCGGGCCCTTGCGGGGCCCAGGGCTCCTCCCAGTGAAAGAGGTGCTGAGATACCGCAAGTTCAGTTATCCTGCTGCTTTGCGGTATCCAGTTGGCAGTAGCTCAGCAAAAGCGTGCCTTGATGGGTACTGCCGTGCCATTGCGCCAGAACATCACCTGGCAAGGATTTCCAGCTGCGAGGCTTCCTTTCCAGGCTTGTCTCATTTGCCCGCGACCTTCGCACCGAGAACCTCCACCTGCCCAGAGGCGGAGAGAGCGGGCAGCGGGTCCTCCAAGCGCATTCCGGATAACTTTGGGGCTCGTCGGACTCGGATTCACCCGCCTCAATGTCGAAGACAGAGACGTAGCACTGAGGGAGGTGGACCAACTTATCGGAATCCTCGGCGAATAGCGCAGCTTTAAACGACGCTCCTTCCACCTCTCCTAAGCACTGCTCCTTCTCGACGACGGAAACCTCGAGCTGAACATCCCCATCGTTGGCCACCTGCCGGCAGGGTGCGGCATCTGCTTGATTGACTCCAGTGTGATCCACAGACTGTCACAGAGTGCTACGACAGTCTCCCAGACATCCGCAAGCCTGCACCCAGAACAGGCCAAAAGCTACTTGGCAAAAGTCCCTCCCCCTCCGGCGTTGATGGCCGCTGCGAAGACATGTCCATCGATGCCGGTCAACGCCGTATCCCGAGGCTTGTAGGGCCCAACGGCTCGAACGACCTCGAGGCACAGAGCTCGGAGCTGTGGGGCTCTAAAGGTCGCACAGTTTAGCCCATCGAGGTGGGCCATTTCAGCTAACTTGAACATCCACAGGGCTTCTCCTTGTTTGTGGCTCGATCGTTGCTCACCTTCCTAGCGCTGGTAGGAGAAGCCAGGCAAACCTGACGAGATCCGCAGAGCCTCCGGCCCTTGCGAGGTATCAAGCCTGGATTTACCTACCCCTGACACATCTTCAGAAATACCAATACAGAATGGGGCAAGGTAATCCGGAGCGCACAGCCTAAGGAGTTGAGCGTTCGGCTGACGCTGAACATATGCGTACTTGATGGAGGGTTGGGTACTGATAGGGGACATAGCCAAAACCAGAGTAGCAGGGATGCGCACCACTGAGTGAGGATCTCAGGACCTGACTGAAGAGAACCCTATGATGCCTATGACCAAGACCCCGGCCATGTCCAGCTCCTTGCCAAAGGCGCTGGCCACATGACTATAACGCAGCTCCTTCCAGCCGGACAAGCACATTCAACTTCGACTATGTGGGTGCAGGACCACGGGCTGTCGACATGCCGTGGTGTCATTGAATGTTTGTGTCGCTCTCTTGCTTGCTTGCCTACTTGCTGCGACGTCTGACGACAGGCAGCAGGCGACCCGGCCAAAAACACCTGCTGTTCCATACCCTAATCATTCTACCAGGAACCCTCTAAGACTTGAAGAAGGTACCTCAACCGATCTGTCAGCTTAAAGTGCGCAATCGAACTCCCGAGTTTTGGCTCTCATACATGCATGAGACAAGCACCGCTTCACAACGACTTCTCCAAAACTAATCAGAATTCACCCAGGCTTCGAACCAACCATCATGCCATAAATTACTAACACCTAGGCCTAAGCCAAGCACTCACCGTCGCACCCTAGCTTCGTTGTCGCAGTACCAGGAGAAGCGTGTACTGTACAAGCTCCCCCCTTTCCCACAGAACTCGGCTTCAGCATCAGAGCCACCCCTGGTGAGGGAGCATCCAGGGCTGCACGTCTCGGCGGGCAGTGTAAAACAAGAGCCCAACGGCAAGTAGAATGCTTGAAACAGAATCGGCAGTGGCCCCGCTGGTAGTAGTAGTGGTAGTGCCAGTGACGTCGTCTGCTGTGCTGGTCGTCTCTCCGTACGAGTCGGTGATGACCGTGAGACATCCCCGAAGGTGGCGAACTGAAATGTCTGTAGTTCCGAGGTCTGTGCTGAGCGTGTCGAACAAGTCTTCTGTTTCAGTCTCGTTCAGGTCCTTCGTGTGCACCTTGCAGTAGTAGCGGGCAAGTCCCCAAATGATCTTGCGCTTCTTGTCGGACGCATTGCGAGGCGCCATATTTCCGCGCGGCATGGAACCATCCGAAGTCTGCTGCCCTGTTCGGGCGAGCTTGTCTAGCACGGCATCGGAGCAATTCAGAGCACCTGTTTCAAGGTCCTGGCCCTCGAGCAAGGCCTCACCAAGGGCCTTGGACTTCTCGACCACTTCTGCAGTCCCATCGAGCTGATCTGTTCCAGCTCTGCCTGTCCCTGGTGCAGCTTTCCAGCATCCCTTAGGGAGCGACCGGTGCACCTTTCTCAATCTCGTCGAAACGCTCCCGGAGCGTGTCCGGGGCGGTGCCACCGATAGATATGCCAGAGTCCTGGCGGCTCTCGTCTGGTGCTTTGCCTGCCAACCTGCAGGCCACCAGCGCCTGCTGGGCCTCCTCTCTCCATCAGCGTGAGACAAGAGCCACCAAGAACGAAAATGACTGTCCAGAGCAGCAAAAGAACTCAAGAACGTGAATTGCGATTTCTACTCACTCCCCCTTTCCAGAGAATAACAAAACCGCCCAAAAGCGAAGCAGCTGAACCCAATCTGCTGGATTCTGCTTGAAACATGCTCTGCCTCCCAAAGTGCATACATCTCGACTTCACGCTGGAAGCAGACATCTGAGGGCAGGCAGTCTAACTCTCTGTGAACTGAAGAAGCCCCCCACCAGACCTACGGTTCAAACACGATGAAATTCAAGGTTGGCTCGGATTTCTGGCGAGCACATGCTGAAACAACCAATCCCTCTCGCGCCCCTCCCACAGTTGAAAGGCAGAAATATGGGACATGAACAGTTACACCTCCAGTCGCTCTGCACTTGCTCCTTGGGCTTCTTGGAGGAGCGCACACCGCCAAGATTGTTGATGCTGATCTTGGCACTCTTTGAAAGGTGGACGTGATCCATCTTTGAGTAGTCAAGAGTCTATGTCAGAGTGCAGGAGAGCACCGTGCTTCGGACGGCTGTGCAGCAGGCTCAAGCATGGATGGCTGGGGCCTTGGGCCTCCGACGCTGAGCACACCAAGGCCGATCCCACCCCACACATAACGCAAAACTCAGGGGAGTACACCACAGACAGATCCAGATCCCCACCCCTCGGCCGCCACGGCACTCGCCCGGCACGGATGTGGAAGAGCGAGCCGAGCCCTTTGGGAGATGTTGGCGCCTGGGGTTTTTTAAGGTGCAGTGGTGTATGCTTCTGACGATGCGAGGATTTGAGCTTTAGGACTCACGGTCTGCGCAAAAGGATCTTCAGTAGTCGTCCTCTCAGTTGCAGCCGTCTCTATCAACTTACTCGGATCTCGGTGATTTCCGGGTTCTGGCAGGCTTCGGTCATGCCGGATGCTTTACATTAGGTCGTGGATCATGTTACTCGCTTCATCCCACCTGCCTTACCCGGTCTGGCCTTCTCCTTCGTGGCTACATCTGGACGCCTCCTCTGCTCGATCACCTGCATGCCGCTGCATATTTTGTTGAAGCAGCTAGGCTTTCCGACTTTAGGTAATTAGGTAGGCACATTACCAAACTTGAAATTGTAAGATCCGTCTTACATGACCTCTCGCGCTTGCATATGTTACACAGGCCCAAGACCGACATCGCGTATGCAGAACGCCCGGGACGCCTCTCGCACCCCCAACACGTCGGCCGTCGCTTCGACACCAAGGCGCTTGCTCAGCCTCTTCAGCGGCTAGAGTCTAGAGCTTTTCGGTCCTTCGGTCCTATGAGGCAAAGAGGGACATTCTGCGATGACACCTCTTTTGCTTGCACTCTCGAAATGCATTGCGAGTCGGGACTACATTCGCGCGGACGTGGCCGCCAGGTCTGACAACCGGGAATCTGACAAGAACATCGCAACCTTAACAACCCCAATGCTACAAGACCAGAACCAACTTTGCCCAAAGATTCTCCAACCAATGCAGCAGCGGCACTCTGCAGAGAAATGCTTCGGCATCTGTGCTACCAGAACAACGTCGGGCAGATCCTGCCAACGTCGAGAAAGAATGGCTGTGGAACCTCCAATATCAACGTACGGCACACACTGCTGAAGCTTCTCTTGACCGTGCCTGTGTTCCACGACGACTTGCCGCGAGGGCAGATTCTACGTAGGACTTGAACAGGACTTCCAAAACTGCATCCAAGTGACCAACATCGTCTTCACCTGCACGGCCACACTGGGGGCCTCTGCGCAGAAAGCGGCGAGGGCCCGCGTTGGTGAGGGTGACGGGAGGTCGGGTTTTGACTCTGAGGTTCGGAGCTTGCCTTGGGGTTCAGACCAAGAGCCTGCACCTCCCAAACCCTCCAAAGGAGCTTGGAGGGAAGAAGCTGAGTTTTGGGGTAGGGGGCTGTGGGCTCAGGGTTCAGGTTGTATGCTCGTAGAAACGGCCCCCCGGCACCTCCTGGAGCTTCAATGCGAAGGAGGGAACGCCCTGCGTGGACGCTGCGTCCAAGACCTTCACATGGGAGCGGGCCATGTTGCACACCTCGCACATCACGGAACCTGTCTCAACCAGAAATCCCAAGAGCCCTCCCGCGCGAGCCCGAATGCCGACATCTTGCCTTCGTCGGGTCCCTGAGCTCTTTTGCCAGCCTAACCGCCGTGGACGCAGCCTTGAGGGCCGAGTCGGATGGCATTTCGATGGTTCCGAGATTCCGGCATTGGGAGTTGGGCCTGCTCAGGTCTCCTGCACGTACTGAAGGGTAGTTCAACATAGTTCAACATCTTTCCTCGAGCGGCAATTCAGCTTCCTGATTGACTAGCAAGCCCCTCCTTATGCAAGGATTATGGAAAGCAGGGAGTTCAGCATTGTGAGTTTCTGAACTACTCTCAGGAAATACACTTCGAATGCTTTCCCCCGCCTCTGTGCTGACCACAGCGGTGAGAACATGTTCGGCAGCTTCAGCCTGCCACCCATTTCCGGGCTCCATATATATATATATATATATATAAGGCTTTGGGATGGTAGGTTTTGGAGAAAAGAATATAAAGAATGAGAGGTCCAACTGTTGCACCAAGTCTCGTGAACCGCAAACCAAGCTGGCGTAAAACGACGTTGTTTGGAACCTGTCTTCGGGGGTCCTCTGGGCTATGAGCCCGGTCCAAACAGCCGATTCCGGTTGAGATCGTCGAAGCGGAATGTTGAGGAGAACCTCCGCCAGTCGCCGTGAAGACTCCAGGGTGACCTGCCACAGCGGGGGTATTGACTTTGAGCGGCCTGCAGTATTTGGCCCACATATTCTTACAAAGACGACGACGATGCCGATGATGACGACGACTCCGACTGCGATTGCGACTCCTACTCCCACTACTCCTCCTGCTCCTGCTGCTGCTCCTGCTCCTGCTCCGCAGGGAGGGCAGGGCAGGGCAGGGCAGGGCTCCTGCTCCTGCTCCTGCTGCTTCTCCTTCGACTTTGCTGCTACTACTACTGCTGCTACGACTACTATAACTGCTACGACTACGACGACGACGACGACGACTACTACTACGACGACGACTACTACTACACGGACAGAAGCATTCATCCAGTCACTTTTTGTCGGCATTCCCGGGCCTCGACAGCTTTCGGCGGCGCGCCCAGGGCTGCCACCAGCATCGGCTGGAGGGAGCTGGGTGCAAGCCATGTGGGTACCAGATAGCGCACCTGTCCGGATCCGTCGAGGGGCATCGGAGGTGGTGATCGGAACAGGTTGGCTTACAATTTTCGATCGGGGCATGGCCCTGTGCCGCCGTGGAGCCTTGGCCTGGTACTGCGTTTGCACGGTTGTGACTCGACTCCTGCTTGCTGCGTCGGCATACGACGCAATGGGCAAGGAAAGGGTCCAAGCAAAAGCTGTCCTTGGGGCATCGACTTCATGGGCAAAGGCAGCAATGAACTTGGCATCATCGAAGTGCTCAAGATCCTGCGAGCTAGAATTGGAAAACACCGAGTCTAAAAGGACACTAATGGCGTGGCTTCACGTCACACAGCCGCGTTGCGTACATAACCTTCTGCATTATCGACACGCTTCAGCTAATGGAACACCCTGCTTTCAGTAAAGCCCCGCCCCATTTTTCACACTGTTGTGATTTCCTTTCATCGTCCCAGATTTTGCGTGCCCTTTGTGACTGTTGTCGAGCTGTCGGGGCGGGCCACCGCTAGGAGAAGATGCAAGCCTGAAACTGTCGAAGTTCTCGAGTGACGAGGGCATAAGGTGGGAAACCCACAGGCCCACAGGCTTCCCTTGTCGCGCGCTTTCGGTGCATAGGCTTCTTCACATTGACAGATACGGCAAAGCAAAAGGCAAGAAGCTTTGGTCATCATGATCATGGACGAGTGAAGGCCAGTTCGGGCAGGATAGATCCGATACAGTGAATTGATCGCAGACCTCATGCAAACCTACTGAATTTCGGTTGCGAAGGCTCACGCATCGGAATATCCCACAGGGATCCTTCAGGCTCATCTCCACCTGAATGACATACATCGTCAGGTCCTGGCCAGAAATACGGCAATACCTTAAGGCCAGTCGAATCGAATCCTCACCTGACTACATTCGAATGAACCCAAGCATCGCAGCAAATCGACATGCCTGGCCTCCCCCGTGCCGTAAGGAGCCTCTTTCCTGGGCCAACATCATAGTGTCAACACAGGTTCTACTCCCTCATTTCTTGCTTCGTGTGTAAGTCTTGGATCCAGATCTGCTACTGACGGCTGTCGCTTGCAGGAATGGGCAAACTGCTCCTCACCAGGCTGCCATCATGTCACTACACTCAGCCTTGCTTGTGATTCTGCATGTATCCGATGACACAACCTGAGACACTACGAAGGTCAAGGACTTCGCTACATGCTAGCTAATCCCTGCTATCCGCATCCGAGGACCCGGCAGACTCCCTTCTTCCTCCTCCGTTGTGGCCACGGTAGTGGTGGTAGTGGTAGTGGTGGTAGTAGTGGTGGTCGTCGTAGCAGCTTGGGTGGTCATGCGGATGGTTGTCCGGGCAGTCGTATGGACGGCGCTTGCCTTGATGGCTCAGAAAGTCGGGAGTACAGAGACGCAGACACAGGTCGAGGAAGATGACAAGCCCTGAGGTTTTGAAGGCTAGAAAAACCTGACAAGGGCAGTGTTTTCTAAATCAAGACCACTATGCTCGTCTTCGCGAGTAGCATGCTGCAAAAAACAAGTCCCGCCCCCGGGCCTGTGGCTTTGGCATTTCATCTGGACGCAGTCTTTGCCCGATCACCTGCAGGATCATGTGACACTTCCGGAAGTGGAGTCAGAACATAGTCATAGCATGAAGTTGAAGAGGTGCTGAACAGATAGAGATTCCGCCGACATTACATATTGTCACAGGACTTACGCCAGGCCCCTAGCCAATGGCACCCTTAGTGTCACTCATCACTACGGAAAGCTGATGGGTGCTGCAAGAAGAGCCTCGCGCACGCCCAGCACGTCGGCCGTCGCTTCGACACCGAGGCGGTGGCGCAGCCTTTGCCAACATCGGCATGACCGTCGTAGTGAGGGGGTGAGAAGAGCGATGTACAATGATGAAGCTGGGGAAGAAAATGGCGAGGAGGATGAGGTTAAGGATGAGGGCAGAGAGTGTGACTCTCACCTGACGAAGAGGATGGCAATGAACATGATGAATGTTAGAATAACATGGAAAGCATTGTCCACGAGAGCATGAACAGAGCAGTGACTGCCGTAAAGTGCATCTGGGATGCGACGGACAATTGTTATCACACTATCGCCGCATCAAGTACATAATTGCTCATCAGCATAGGAATGTGTGTGGAACATCTACCATTGGGCCCGGCACAGAAAATGGTTCGTTGTGGCCCTGTTTGTGCTTGTGGTGCTTCGGCATTTGTGAGGTTGTCACTCACTCCAGCTATCGATGCTTTCGAAAAGTTCCTCAAACGGTTTTGGGCTCATACTGAATACTGTTTCCATTAGAAAACTCACAGATCGTCACACGGCGTTTTCCAAAGATGGGAAACCTGAAACTCCATTGCTCGAAACCCAGTGCACTCCCGAACAGCACTGCTGGGCTTCACGGGACTCGACAGCATTAACACAAAGGTCCGAACGACTAGCATAGGGTTCTGGGGGAAACTTCGGACTTCAGCATACCCAGAAAAGGGACTACGAGGACACGGTCTTGTATTGAATGCTGGTTCTCTGCAGCCGAAGCTCTCTGCAGACAGGTGCTTCGGTGTCGGCGCAGAAAGCACATCCCGCGGCAGGGCCTCGCGGGTTTGGTTTTGCCTAGCCCACACCACTGCCCTTACGGCTGCAACGAAAACAGGTTACCATGCATGTTGCCCACTTTTTGATTTTTGTCTGCTTACAGAAGTCAGGGTCCAACGTTTACGGTTTCGGCGTGTAGGGTCTTTCGATATAGCAGTTCCGGCTCGAGGACAGCTCGCAGAGCGGAAGATTGATGCATGCGAGGGCAGCGTGTACTAAGTGTTTCCAAACTATCATCGCACGCATCAACGACTTCTTCAGCGATGCCCTAGCCACGGGAAAATCGCAGTGGGACTGGATATCTAAATCTTCTTTTGCATGGCTCAGGCCTTCACTCTACGTCCGCAGGCTTAAACTCAAGTCAGAGCCACAAGCCTCAATCCAAAACGCAACCACCATCAAACCACAAACCCATTTGGGTACAGAGATACACGCCAAAGAATTGAGCGCAAAACAACTGCATCCGAGCGACTAGCAGCGTGTGCAGCTTCACCGCGACACTCGGTGCCTTTTCGCTGGACATACTGCCCCGCTGGCTTCTCCAAACCGCAACAATCCGAACAGCTTCGAACTTCCGGAGAACCACTACGAACGCATCACGACTCTCTTTACTTTCGAGCCGAGCACCTGCTCCAACTGCAGCGGCGGGGAGGCTATGCCTTGTGCTTCTGCTGCCTTCTCGACCTCTCGGCGGGCTTTGTAGAGGTTCGGACATGTCGCATGGAGGCTTGCTGCATTTGCAGTTCAAGCTTCAATGTCCATGGTCCACAACAAAAGCGAGAATGATGATCGTACGGTATTTGAGCAACATTTATTGTCAGACCTGGCATGGGCCGGCTTGAGCTTGGATCCTGTAGTAAAAGGACAGCACTGCACAATCGCGGGTTTGTGGCAGCTCCAAGCCCGAGTGGCCTGAACCTTAAATTCCCTAGATAGATTCCGTTCCAAGCCATGTCGGCGGTTTTGCGTTACTCCAGGAGCACAAGTCCTATGCAACAAGTGATCGGAGGAAGCGAAGCAAAAAGCACGTCGAGTACACAGGGACTGCTCTGAATCTGTCGGCTTGAAGTCCTTGAATTCTTTGAGGGTTGCTTTAGAGGTACTAGAAGTTGGTTACTATGAGGCTTCTATAAGGGGTCTAGGGTTTATTTTCTTTTTCCCTTAACCTTGGAGGGTACCCCAACTGGCAAGAATAGTGAGCATGTCCGTAGAATGGTGAAACTCGGGAGCCCTAGCGAAAATCCTGAAACCTGAAGCAGCACCCGAACCACCAAAATTCTCGAAAACAGTTCGACAAGGAGTTTCGTGACTCCGTAAAGAAGAACCTAATTTCCAGAGCCTTCAAAACACCTCTGTCTTTAAGCGCCAGTGGGATGCCTTCTTGGTGTCTCGTAGCTCCTCTGCAAGCTGCGCAGCCATGGAGGGATCCTTGCGAACGACCCCAGAAACTTTCGGGCAGAGGATTTCATGTTTAGGCGGTCGAGTTTGGGGAGGCTTCACGAAGACAACAAGACGCTGAGTAGCAGAAGCAACTCAGCAGCAGGAGTAGTAGCAGTAGTAGTAGTAATAATAATAATAGTAGCAGTAACAGTAACAGTA